AAACTAAATCTAATTAATGAATAATAGCGAATATAAAGTAAATTGAGCTTGAATGTTTTAACTGCTTAAAGAAAACATATTCGAACAGAAACCTACGACATTGACATATATAACATCAGAGTAATGGACAATCGTATTAGAACAATGAATTTCGTATCTTTTAAAATTAATGTTATTATTATCGTTGTAACACGAATGCTATTAACAACTATCACGAATGGTTAGAAAACTGCTATCTGTATCAATTATATAAAAAATGTGTACATTTATACTAATATTAACTATCGTTCAACATTAAGATACAAGTTAAATTATAAACGACGAAGTAAATTCAATTGTTATTTAAATATCATGGATGTGTTATAAATATTAGCTTTTGGCTTGCATACTTGGTAATAAAATAAACAACTATATACATTATTGCACGAGAATGTCTACCGATTCCGTACAACGAACATTGTATACATAGATCGTTGTTAAGTACTATTGAAAAAATGTATTATGTTATATTGAACGAATCAGTAATTTATTACATCTGACAAGTCGATTATATTTAATAACAAAAATATCAAATTTTGTCAATGATATAGATTCCAACTTTTAAGTTAACACTTACACCGATAAAATATTTAATGTTGGATGGTAAACTTATAACAATTTATAAAAATAATAAAACTCACTAAGAGAAAATAAAAGGATATAAATTTAATTTTTAACCTATGTTTTCAGCGAGCAAAAAAAATTAAAATCTATACACACAATTTTTTAAAGTATAATTATTCTTTTAATTTAATCATTAAAATTCGGTATTAAATTAAATAATAAGTAGGTAATTAAAATATTAAATTAGCTCCAATACATTATTTAGATAAATTATAAAATTACGTTTCTATATTAATTTTAATATTCAATTATGAAACTATGAATATGAATTTATTTATTTTACATTGTTTATCTAACAAATCTATCTATATTCTTATTTAGATCGTATAATATCTACTAATCTAGACTTTAAGACTAAAATATTAATCACTGACAAAGAGTTTAATTAAAATCATAATTTTCAAATTAACGATACTTAAGACATTAGTTTTTGGGTGCGTTAATAGTATATTTGTTAAATTTAAATTGCACCACTTTAAAATACATAAAATAAAGATAAATAGATAAATGACAAAAATCATCAATGAGAAAATATCATTATGGTTATTAATATCTTTATAACCTGATTTAAAATTAAAAAAAAAACTTAAATCTTTCTGCCTTTTCCATTAATATCTTTTGATATTTATATATAATTGATGTTATATAATATGTACTAAAATTATTTAAATTGAAAACGTATTACATATTATCAAATAACTACGATCCTAAATAAGTTTTAAAACACATAGTATGTCAAGTAAGTTATTTAATTATATAGGGATATTGAAGTAGCATATAGACACGATGGTTTAAGCCGAGACTGCCTCTTGGATGGAACGGCATTACGAATTCGATGTAATAAATTATAATGTTATATAGGATATAAATAATGATCGGAAATGTTTCATTTCGATTGACTGAAAAAAGAAAACAGGAAATCTATGACATCGGTACACAGACATAGGATGTGAACCGGACCTACGGATCAACCACAATAACACGGTTGAGTACTATAACAACACGGAGTTTTCCTATTTTAGTCAAATCTAGTTACGATGACCCGTTAAGGTCATTTACTAGTATCTAAAGGGCTTCTTTAGAGGAAAATTCATTGACGATGAATTGAAAGGTTTGTAATTTATATACGTATGGATTTATACGCTATCCGTTTTCGAGTTTCTTATTTTTGTCTAAATGGTACCATTTTCCTTTTTCCCAAAGGAATTAATAGAAATTGAAATTATATATTTTTAAGATTGTTATTATTAAAACTATTTTTTTTAAATGTTTAAAATTAAATATTAAACTTTAAAACCATTAATATTTTCTCAAATTATTATAGGATCACCATCGAATATGTTTTTCAGAAACTCGAATGAATGATATTCAAAGCATTATAATAAGTGATTCCATTATTTATGTTACGGGCAAAAGCCGAAATCGGGCAAGCCTCAGAAATGCCCGGGCAAAATACGAACTGCCCACAATCCTTGAGCAAAATGTCATATTTCGGCTTTTGACCGGGCAAACCTAGTTATGACCAACCTCATTTGGGCAAAACTGCCAAAACCGTATACTACTTTTATCGTAATGGCAAAACCGTAGAGTCTTAAATATGTTTGCTAATATTAAATACGATTTTATTACGATTATAGATGACCATGCATATCTTGTTAATTTATCGCTGTTATTATATTTTTCCAACTCGTTATATTAAAGGTACACAAAATACACCTTATCAAAATGGGGTTTAAATGTATTATTATTTTTAATTATTTATTTTAACATTATAAAAGTACTTAATATTATTATGTTTATTTTTATACAAATACTTAATATCATTATATTTTATTATTATTTAAGTTTATTCAATTATATTTGTACAATAATATTTATTTTATAATTATTTGTATTTAATATTAGCGAACGTATTTAAGACTACGGTTTTACCCTTACGATAAAAGTCAATATACGGTTTTGGCAGTTTTGCCCAAATGAGGTTGGTCATAACTAGGTTTGCCCGGTCAAAAGCCAAAATATGACATTTTGCCCAAGGATTTTGGGCAGTTCGCGTTTTGCCCGGGCATTTCTGAGGTTTGCCCGATTTCGACTTTTGCCCGTAACATTTATAAATATAAAAACGTCTATTACAGTATGTAATTTCATTAAAGACTATGTATTTTAAAGAATAATCATATAGTTCGATATATTTGAATCAAAAATAATATAATTATTGTTAAAGTATTAAATGATATTCCATATCCCATTAATTGCAATGAAAAAATAATTTTGTTTTATCAACTTTTATCTATTTTGATATCCTATATTGATAATGAAGTAAAAAAACATGATAATCTGCATGATTATAGTCCAATATTGAATTGAATTTTAATTGTTTTGATAAATTAATTCAAAATAATTTTATAAAATAAATATGTATTATGTAATTAATTATATAATTTTTTTAAGCTTTTAAGGTTTCTATTATATTATGATAATGTAAATCAAAAACACATAAAAAATAAAACTGGTTGAAAATATATTTACTAAATTATAATTAAACTTTTAACGTAAGATGTTTGACAAATACGAACCATGTAAAAAAAATCATACTAAAAATAAATATTTTATAAAACTATGATGATGAGTCGTGTGTTAAAATACGTATATACAACTCAACTGGATCAAACACATACATATGACCAAATTATTCCTAAATTGAAGACTCTGTGCACCGTAGTAATATAAGCAAAACCTCAATCTAAAATCAAAAATTAATTCATACAATCTTTTGTTCAAAATTTTATAAACTTATGGAATTCAAAAATGGGGTGCTGCCAAAAAAAAAAAAAAAAAAACCTCAACAAAATATAAGTAGTTGAATCTAAAATACTTCAACTTAATACACCCCTCCATACGTCTCCAATGACACTCTTCGCACTGACCTACATATACCTAGCAAAACAACACTACAATCAATTTTATAAACGGTTCTATTACCACTCGAACTCTAACTCTCTTATTTCAGAGCTATCCTCAAACTCTCTTTCGGGTAATATTAAAAGGAAATTTGAGCGAATGTGATCCAGAAATTTTCTAATTTGTAAATAAGTTGGTTAGCATATTACACGAGAACAATTTTTAAATCCTCATAATTATTTGTTACTGGTTCTATTGTTTATATTTATATTATATTCACTTACATCTTGTATCATACGCGTACGAGTTGTACAATTTTCTACATTAAAAAATGGAAACAGTGAAATTCTATGCGTAATAAATACATGTATAAAGTAGATAATTTTTTACCTGATAGTTATAAGTAAAACATAATTTATAACAATACAGTTTATAGTGAAATATGGTAGAAATGTTCAAATGTTACCATAAGTGTATGCAGACCTGTATTTTAGGGGATACTTACTAAACTATTATACTATTGGGTCCTATAATTCAAGTCTCTACAGTTCATAATCTACGAAGATTTTCTTTAGAACATATCAGATGTAACCGTATTTATGTTTTTGTGTTACACAGAATTAAATCCTGTCCATATTACTTTTTTTGCCGTCTAACCCGCCCAGGCCCGTTCGTAACATTTATTGTTTGTTTTTATCAGTAGTGATATATTATTATAAATATCATATAGACTAATAATATATACGTTTTTTTTTTATGAATTACGACAAGCCTATTCCATTAGTTTGGGAACATTTCCTTATCCAATAATTGGCATTAGTATTTTACTCTTATATTATATTTCAGTAGTTTTATTTTTGACTGGCCCAGTCCAAAAAAAAATACTACGATCCCACCCATAACTAAGCCGCAATATTTATATTATGGCATGGTCCGGTCAAAGTCCTATACGATCCGGGTTGGGTTAACCCGCCTGGTGCGGACTCTACTAGCGTCCTACTAACAAAACGTGTAGATTCATTTAATAAATTATAATGGATAAATAAATAAATAATCATAATATTATTTTGTATTTAATATTGTGGTATATTAGTACTAATGAATATGTTTTCCTTGAATTTCGAATGTTTTTTCAGATATCGTCAATTATTTATGATATGTACTTTTGAAGTCAATTGTTGATGTTATATTATCATAATAAAAATTTGTTCGAACATTTAGAACATTTAATTTTATTTTTTTTAATACAAAACATCATTTATTTTTATCTAATATTTTGGAATTAATTAATTGAATTTGAACATCAATTAAATTACTCTACAAAATTTTGGGGGATACCAAAGCACATCCGATACTCCCCTGTGCACACGCCTATGGGTGTTAAGTGATAAATAATTAATTAATTTGTTCTACATAATAAATATTCCTCTACATACCCATTGTTTTGATGGATGAAATTATAATAGTTTGTATTTATGCAGTGATTTAAACGTTGATTGAAATCAGTATGACTTGTTGTTTTCGGCGAACTCATTGTAAATATAATCAATAATGACAAAACAAGAGAAAAATGAAAATAATTATTAAAATTAACATAATAGTAGCATAATCCGGTAGATAATTTTAATACTCCAAGCACAATAACTATTATTTTGAAGTGTTAACCATGCGTTGAAAGAAAAGCATTTCGACTGATTGTTGTTTACAATAAACACTGATGCCGATCGTCTCATAACACAACCAATAATATAACAAAATTGCTTCACCGATAATACTATGATCTCCAAATTGATAACCGATGTTGCTGTAATGAATACAGGTTGGGATTCCCGTATTGTTGTATTTTGGTAATATGATTGTAATTTTATAGTGTTAGATTTCCGTTTTAGAGTTTGGTACTCGCGTTTCGATTTAACAGAATACTTAAAAAAAAAAATGAAAATGAAAAGCTAATGAAATGTATTATTTTATTGGTTATAAAACAATTAGTTTAACACCGTATAAAGTATTGACTTATTAAATAAATAATGCTGTTTGTACTATTTTTTTTGTACAAAAAAATACAGCATACGACATAATATGATTCTGAATTAATAACTGAATTGAATTTTTATTGCACTGATTTTCTTGCAATAAAATATGAATCAAATATACAGAAATGTTTGCATATAGTCTACATACTGGTGTTTGTTCAGTTTTTTCAATTTCTTGTTTATATTTTCAAAACCTTAGATTATACATTGATAACTGAAAAATATTGACAAAAAAATATTGGTCAATATAAGTTATAATGCGGATTTTGATTTTTTTAATGACAAGTAGTTCTGTAATCACGAATAATATATTTTAGAAAATCGTTCTATTTCCATTCCACTACACCTAAAATACCTCGTAAGCCCTAGTAGATAAATTTTGTTATGGACACAATTACAATTTAACGTTGTGAATACGATGGAATAATTTAGCTAACACAATCATCCATCTTATTCCGTATCCTTATCCTCATCGTTCATTATTTGTATTTTATTGATTCAAATGAAGAAGACACCAATGTCGTCATATGATACGCATCAACAAGGGAAATAAAACATTATGACTCATTAATTTCTTATATATATTTGCTAGTACTTAAACTTTGAGTTACTTTAATGCTTATCTAATGTGGTAAATTTTTAAAACAAAGGTTATTTAAGAATATTAAAGTCAATAAGAATCTTAAAAATGTAGGTAAGTGCATACGTATTTTAGTAGGCGAGTAATGCGCGATTTGTTTCTGAAATTTTAATTTTGGATGAGGAATTTTTACTTTTTAATTCAATTAAAATAGTATTACACTTATGCTTTTATTATGAATGTTGACGAACAAATTAATAAAATGGCTTTAGAATTAATAAAAAATGACATTGAAAAGTTAATAAGTTTTAAAAAATGACTTGTTAAATTCGACTTTCTTGAAAAAGATTAAATTGCCCATAACTTAAAAAAATAAAACAGTATCTTCATCTCTACCAAGTTAAAAGGGGTTTCTATCGTTTTTGGTATATTTTTATAGGACATCGGTCAATCACTTATACACAAGACAATTATTGTTATTATTATTATTATTATTATTATAAAAAAACTCTTGATATGATTATGTATAGATGATACAAGTGCACAACTGAATTGCGTTGGTATTAAGGAAATAGGTCGAATCGGTTCTATTGAATGAGATACTTTTATAATAAACATTAAGAAATCGATTGTCGAAATATGCGGTTTTTTATTTTGTTAACTCACTATTTATTTTCCCCAAGTTTAAATTTCGTTAAATGTTTAACTAGAATACAGTCGTTTAATTATTTTATTAATAAATCGTTGTATTTTATAATTATTATGATATTTTTATTGGCACGGAACTTTCTGGTTGTTATTACTGGGTCGGAAATCCAAATGTGAGCAGAACAAATCGCAATGAAAAATAATGAGAGAATAGAAATGTTTTGCTGCAACTAAGTGATCACTTGCTCCACTAGAAATCATAAAGGACATGGCGTGAAAAAAAGAAATGGGCGCGTTCGATGACAACGACAGTGTAAATCACGCGAAGTGCCAGCCTATGACGCATTCGTTTACTGCAACATAAAACTGGCCTAAATTGGGACCTCGGGAGTGAATATGAGATTTCGCAGCTCATCCAAGAACGTAATATTATTTTATTGTTAACGTCACGAGCACCGTTGTAGCCACCATCTCGCAACTTTAAAATACACTGCGACGTTTTGGTTGGTCTGAATTTTGCAGTTCGTTATTGCAGGCCGGCAAGTTGTAATAACGTTTCAGGCATCGACTGTATGATAATGATCTGATTGACACATATTTGAACAAAAAATAAATTATGATCAATTAATATTTTCAAATGTTAATTATTGACGGTTTAATGTTAATTGATTTATTGTTGTTTAATATATATAATACTAGTTGAAAAAGCTTACTTTACACGGTATAGTCATGGTAGGGGTGAAGATGTTCCTAAAAACCCCAAAGTATTGAAATTCGTTTAGAAATTGTATGTATTTTCGTATTATTCACTGATTTCATTTTTGGACTAGTATGCGAGTGTGCACTCATAAAAAAAAACAATTATTGATGTTTGTTGTGTCAGATATTATTGGCTAATAATAGTATAGTAAAATAATGTACTGGCCAAAATTAAACTAATTGTTGTATTAAACAAATAAACAAAACGACGTTTGTTCATTATATTTTTGATAGTAGATACGCTAATATGTTTTAATTTTATTTCAAATTTTTAGTGGTTTTTAGTGTAAGTTTTTTAAGTTCAATTTGTTTAAAAGTCGAGACAATATAACGATTGATGACAAACTAATGATGCTTGGATTAAAAAAAGGATGGACAAGCTTTAACGGTGAAAATATTATCGATTTGTGTTACGGTCGTATACTAAACATTTTTTAGTTAATAGATAATTTAACAGCTAAGTTAAATTAAATATATTTATTACCTAGTTATTTAATGTAAAATATATTTAGTGATATAATAATTAATTATATACAGAATAATTTAGCAATAGTTAATTTTATAATTAATATTAGTTAGACGAATTTGTTAATAGTTAACTTTAGTTAATATAAGTTAGAATAATTTAACAATTGTTACGTTAATAATTATTAATTATAAATTATTATTAATATTTTTTTGTAGCAGTTTTATCATAAAATTAAGTGTTAATATAAATTCAAAAACTATTATTATTTTATAATTTAACGTACAATTTATTTAGTTATAGTTAAGTGTAGTTTATATTAGTTTGTAATATTTTGTGTATATAATTAAGTTTTATAATAGGTTAAATTTAATTTAATAAATTAATAGCACCTAGTAATTTAGCGTAAAGTTTATTTAGTAATACATAGTCAACAATAGTCGGAATTATTTAACAGTACTTAACTAACATTTATATTAGTAGTATTTTTATTAAAGAATTAAGTGTTATGTTGATAAGTTCAAAGGAACGTAAGTAATTTTTCACACTATTTTAGACTAAATACTTTATAAAATTATACTTTTAGCAGAATTAAAAACGTTCGCTAAATGTTCGTTAAAAAACACTTTTTTTTATAAACATTTAAATATTCATCGTATATAATTTAATAAATTATTAAAAATACTCAGGTATGCACATAATTACTGTTGTATTTGATTAAGTGTTCATGCAGACGTAATCGCCTCGATTTAATATAATAATTTGGCAGCGTGTGGATGTAAACAAAAAAAAAAAAAAAAAATGTTTGAAAAAAAATAAATAATAATAAATAAACAAAAAAAAATTGCAATACTGCTACTAAAAATAATAAATTAAGTCCAAAGTCGGAATTAAATGCTACGGTGATTGCGTTCAGTTAAAATTTACAAAACAGTGGTATTAAGTATTAATTATATATATATATATATATATATATATGTATATATAGATTGGTGCAAATTGATATTTAATTTTTTTATAATAAATATTAGTTCTGCAGTATATACGAATAAATTTTCTTCTAATGTTAGTTAGTTTTTTATGCTAAACTAATTTATATTTAATCAGAGTCCAATATGGTCCAATATTAAAACCCAAGCAAATACAAATCTAGTAATTAAATTAAATTAATATTTTTCGAACGTTTTACGTTTTATTATTTAGTTTTTTTATGTAAATTCACAATACACTTTACGTCTGTTTACGTACATTTTTAAGTACATTAAATGAGTAAAGTAAAACATTAAATTTGTATTTCACTCGTATTTTAAATAATTGATAAACAATAAATATAATTATTTTATGACCTAAAAGTCTGACAAAGTTACATTTAGGATTACTTGGAGTCGAAAGCTTAATCATGACCCGAGCCTACAGAACTATCCGAAATTTATAACTGATCCTTTATTTATTAAAACAGATTATGGTATGAATCTTTATATCAGTGTAACAGTTAGTGCCTTTTATCAACAATTTTAAAGAACAAAACTTAAAAATTTTACGAAGTGTACTGCTAACAAAATAAATCCAAAAGAAATCATATCTCAAAACACACAGAGGTGGTATCTACAAAACGAAAATGTAAAGCTTATGTGAAATTCAATGGAGAATGTTTATATGATAGGATGGTCATTCATTCCGGATTTTCCGGGACGTTGCCAGTTTAGAAACTCATATCCTGGTGTTTCGAAAAAGTATTCTCTTAAAGGTCAAATCAATTTTAAACTTTAGACTGGATATTTATATTTATTTCCATTTTGGTTACTAAGTAATAATTTTGTTTTATTTATTATGTTGATTTTAATAATTTCTATATATGTAAGTTATAGAAATATTAATAAATAAAAATAATTATCATTGAAATATACGTTAAATTCAGCTAGTATAATATGTAATTAATTCAAGCTTTTTATTTACAATAGTGTGTTTTTTGTCAATAAAGTATAACGTAATCTCTTGAACAGAAAATAATATATTCAATCAAATGAAATGTATATTACTATTAATTGTTTAAAACTTAAATAAATAATTAATAATAAATAATAATAATAATAATAAATAATAAACATTAAATAAATAATAACTCTCTTTAATTCTCGATTAACTTATTTCATCAATAATTATGATTTATCTTTCTACTGCTTTCTCAGATTTAATCGGATTTTTTTCTGTTCTTATTAATATTTGTATATCACTTATGTCAATCGTTCTGTAAGAGCTATTGACGAGTCGTAATATCCGTTAAGATCACTTTCAAAGCAAATGTCAAAATATAAGAGTGTTTACACTCTAATTAATATCAATATCATATTATCCGACTCCTGTGTCTCAGTTTATTTTATAATAATATCAATAAGGCTAATGATAATGAATATATTTAATTTTATAATTATGTAAAATTATCATATTTTACTATAAAAATAATAATAAAAAAAAAAAAAAAAAAAAAAATAGAACCTCCATTAGTCATCAAATGATGTCATTCCGACATTTTTAATCGTGTATTCATTCTGAAAAATAAAATCATTTTTATCATGGTGAGATTTTAGTTTTAACTGTTCAACGTACATTCTATTCAGTCCATTCTATCAACTATACAATGAAGTTATTCTTATTATTTACATTTTTTTTGGGCAAGTATTATGTAGAATGACACGTTTGTAATTTATAAATTACAAATTATCAACCGTTTTCTTTAATAAATTTTCATATATTTGTATTAATGTATTGATTTTCATTTTAATTATCTATTTGAATAAGGAATATCACAAAGTACATTTCGATGTACCAATGACAATGAAATGTACTACATTCTGGGTTTTGACGGTTTATCTGATTGTGATGGAGAAACTGTCGAAGGATTAACGTGTAAGGTATGTATTTAGTAAATATTTTTAAAAAAAATGTAAATTAAAAGTTTAGGAAAATTAATACAAATTAATAGTATGAAATCCATCAGTATTTTCCCAAAAAATTATATCAAAAATATTTCTGTACTGCGAACTGTAATCAAAGACATCTCTTGTCAATAATAATTTAGTAAATTTTTGAAAAAAATACTATTATTATATGGGATACAATAAAGGATAATATTTATAATGTATCTCTGTAGTTAATGTATGCTATTATTGAAATGCATTCAAAAAATACATTTAAAACACAATGAGTCCCAGGAGACTAAGTGAGATACACGGACTGATGACTGATATAGGTGAATATTTTTTTTTTAAATTTGATTAATGAACCATTGATTTCAAATAACGAATTTGAGAACGGGTGAATGAGCGTATATGTCAAATGATAGCTTGCACAACTAGTGCAAGTATTAGTAGTTATCTAATTTCATAATCTGATTGGTTAAAAAAAAAAGTATAAAAGTATCCTTTAATTAAGTACATTAATTTAAGAAGACGAGTTCACCTATAAATGTATTAGACATAAAAATATCTTTTACACGTAATACAACCATTCAGTTTACAACTATATACATAATCTAATATATTTTCATAATGGGGACCATTTTAAATTTTGTTTTTTAAATAGAAGAACATTATTATCTATGGTGTTTCGTTTTTATTTTATTCGTTAGCAATAATTAGTTTAAAGTTATCTACGAATATATTACTTTAATAGTTGTAAAATTAGTAGGGCTTGGATATTAAAGCACAATAAATTACAAAAATATACAACTATTTAAAAAAACGAAACTGTTGATGAATCAAACAGCTTGTTGCGATTATGTTGTTAATCATACGGCTTCCGTGTTGTGCGGGCATTCCAGAATATTTTATTGGGACAAAAATATTTATTTTTTTTTGTAGATGTTTGATAATCTCGTGGACTGCTAACTTTCCAAGGAGGGCCACATGCGGTTAGCGGGCCGCGGGTTGGCCTTCTCTGCACTACACCATAGATAATTTTATCTTTTTTTTAAAATAATATAAGGAACCTCTACCATAAAATTATACGGTTTCATCCCGTAAAGTATAGTTTTTCTGCTCAAAAATCGTACAAATATAATTATTTTATTTATAGGACCTACGCGTCACGCACTCATACTGAAGCCCATATGACCGATGGTCTGTAGAGCGTTAAATCCGTAGTAAAATTTTGAGTATCTTAAATATAATGATAAGCTACTAAAAATTCACGTATAAAATTAAGTTAACAAATTCGCTAATTACAGTATTGAAAATAATCACGATTTTTAGATACTACCCTGTTCTGGTAATCCAATATTTGCATGCAAATCAAGAAAATATTTGCTTTCGGAATGGGTTTGTAATAAGAAAATAGACTGCCCAGATGGAGAAGACGAAAACATTGATATTTGCAGAGTAAGAACATTTTTCTTGTACTGAATGTTTTTTTTTCGCATAATGTTCGTATGATGTTCAGTGTTTACACAAAATCACATGAAAAGTTAAAGAGTCTGTACAGGATTAAAAAGGGGGATTAAGTTAATGGGTTAACCTGTTTTCCAATGATCAAATTATGGTACTCGGTCATTCGGGATTGTAAAGATTCATAGCATAGCAGAACAGCCATATAATTATAAATATCAATTTGAAAGCTCTTATCTGACTCAATATCAATACCAGGTGCCCGATGAGCCAGACAATAAATTACAATAATGGATCCAAATATGGATGATGTGAGGCTAAAATGAAATTAACAGACACAGAATTCACCGTTATTTATTACTGAACCTAACTGGACGCTTAAACTGATGTGATGTTGTTATATATATCATACATATTTTTATATATCATCATCACATCAGTTAGTATAATAATAGGGTTAGTTGAATAAAATTGTGAAATTTATTAAATCCATGAAAGTTCGTAAATAGAGCTCCGTCTGTACTGGTCTGGTTGCTTGACCAAAAAGCGAGGGTTTGACTCAATTTAGCGGACCGCGATTAGTTATTTTCCTTTTTATAATACCGGCATTACCAAGAACGCGAGGAAAAGGTGTTTGTTTTCACCAAAACTATTTTTTCAAGGCTATAGTATTTTTGAAATTAATTAAAGTATCTTTTTGAAATATTTATTACTTTGATCAGCTAAATTAAATTATTTTTATATCTATAGTTCTTCATGACAATGGCATTGTATGTAAAAAAACTTTGATAGGTAAGTCAGGTTAATACTTTATGATAAATAAGATTTCTATGCACGCGTTGAGAAAGCTGTTCAATGTATATTAAAGTTTAAGGTTACATTTACTGATATTAGAATAATATATTACAATCGATGGAGTAAATTAATCATTGGTTGACATGAATGACTATAAAAACAGCTTAAAGAAAATCTTAAGAAACTAAACTTATTATTTTTAAAAAAATTTCAAATTTAATAATCATCATTGGAAAAATTTTAATTTTCAGAAACGATCGTGTTCAACAAATCAATTTAGATGCGATTCCGGAAAGTGTATTTTTCCAGATTGGGTTTGTAATAAAATAAAAGACTGTCCAGATGGAGAAGATGAAAGTATAGATCTATGTAAAGTAAGAATATTTTTTTTTTTTATAAAGTTTTGTTGTGACATAAAATATTTAAATCAAATGATATAAACTCAAGTATTTTTAGATGAATTGATTTTTCATACATTTTACCACATTTAATTTAAATATGTATCATAAAATACCATAGTTTTCTTTGATGGATAGTTTTTATTTATAAAGATATTGTTTCTTCAGCTTTTCGTTTAAATATTTCGGTGCAATAATTATATATGATAGATCAAAAAATATATTTTTCTTACTTTTAAATGAAGAACTACTCAAACAGCTTAAAAATAAATAATTAGCAACTTAACATCATCATTATTTGATTTTAATATTTATAAAAAGAATGAAATATCTAATTGAAATGTAAATTTGTATTTCTGAAATATATAACTTTATTTTTTAATGTTCGCAGAATATCCAAAAAGTATATAAATATAAGTTATATTTCTTAACTGATAAAATTACTATCATATAATATATATAATATAATAACACTACCACAGTCTAGTTTTTAAAATTCTAACTGCTTGTTTTTACTAAAAATGTATGATAAATAATCACTCTTATAATTTTGAAAGAATTATGCTAATTATGGACACAAGTAGAATAATTGTAATATTTTCTTTACGATTCTAACAGATATCATATTTTAAATCCTTATGTTTAGAACCAAATATGTTCAAAAGATCAATTTAGATGCATGTATGGCAAATAACTTCTTTTAGAAAGAGTTTCTTATGAGTTTTATGAGTTAACGGATTGTCCAGATTGAGTAGCCGAAAATAAAGGTACATACAGGTTAGGTAAATTTTTTTTTATTGTACTGAATACTCTTCACTGTATGGCATTTAATGATTTGTATCTAAATAAAATATATCATTAATTGAAACGTTTAATGGTGTTTTGAATTTGCGCTAATTTTACTTATTGTCTACGAAAATAATATTCTATTTAGAATTTATTTTTTCTTTATCTCTATAAGTACTTAATAATTTTTTTTCTCTAAATATTACTTTTTTAAAAAATGTTCTGAAAGATATAGCAAACATATCGAATGCACAAAATAGACAGCATTTTCCATTAGATAGAAAATAAACAAATTAATGACTGGTCGAAATCATGATAAAATACGAAGAAAAAAACGTAGTTCATCAGATTTATGTGGAGAACTCAAAAACTCTGAAATAGATTTTATATACATTTACACACTTAATGTGACAAACTAATTCGGTATTTAACAGTGTTAAATGGATGATCACGAGGAAATAATTGTCCATAGTGTGTCTGTAACAAATTTACGATACGGATTGAAACACACTTGCTTTAATCTAACATCGACCAAATAAATAATTTAAAATTTGATTTGCATATTCGTTGTCTATGTAAGCAATTGTAGTCATGTTCGTTATATGGTATTGTTGATGATGATAGAGGGTAAATTTGCCAAACTATAACATACAACAAGTCACTTTTGCAATTTATTTATTACAGAAAAACTAAATAGAAAAAAAAACAAATCTTAAGGTTAAAGATAAGTTTAATCTAGACAATTTATGAAAAAAATATACCTATCATTAGTATTTAGTATACATATACAAACGTATAATACATTAATTGAATTAAAATTTAAAATAAATAAATGACGATAATTATGCAATTAAAAAAAAAAAAAAATATACTTAATTTATTATAGACAAACGAATAGGAACAATATAAAGTTATGTTTAATCCTATTTTAATAAATTAAACTAATACATAAAAAAGGTAAGTAATTAAATTAAAAATATTGTTTGCGATAACACAAAGAATATATCTTGATACTGAACACGAAGACACAAAATTATTTATATTCAATATTCATGAATCGTATTTAAACATACATTATCTCGACTAAAAATATAAATATCGTTACGTACTTAAATTTTAATAATAATATAACAAAAGATTTATTTTATCACTATTGATTTCGAAATTTTAAAGAATTTCAGTATAGTTTAAGATTTTATATTATAAATTCTAATATATTTGTATAAGAGTTAAGTGTTTTAAATATTTTAAATAAATACTTTTAAAATATTGTTAAATTAATATCGTTAAATTTTTAGAGATTCTTTAAGCATTAAATCGCCATAACTTTAGATATAATATTTTTAATACATACGTGTACGTTTACATTTTTACATCTAAAACTTACCTACACGGTTATTACTTGATTACAATAAATAATAATAGTTTTTTATACACGCATTATTTCTACAGTCTACGTGCTTAAAAATATTTAAAAAAATTACTGTTTTCTATGTAAATCGTAATGTGCGGTAAAATATTAATATTATTAATTATATCGATCAAAATAATTAACGAGGTGATCTAATATCGTACAAAATCATTCTTTTCCAAGTCCTACCAAATTTGATCTACATTTTATTACGACAAGAGTTGCAACATGAGATTTTATAAAATTTATAGGAGCACAGTCTAGCTTGGGCTACGAAATTACAGTTTCTGTGTTGTATGTCCACGCATTTGGCATCGTCTGAAAAATACAAAAAGAATTATTATTTTTCTCATTCTGACCCATCTCGTTTCACAGATTTCCGACAGATATTTATTAAAAATACCAACCTTGATTCGGCGGCTGTTCTGTACTGATGTTCACTGCAGGTTTGTTTTCTCTTTCGACTCGACTTTCGTCGTTTACTACGGGTGCTGAAAATATCCATTAATATTTTTTTTTTTTTATCCAATGTTTGTTCTACGTTTCTAAATGTATTATATAAAAATAAATCGTGGCGTATCATTATAAAGTAACATTATTATTTTGTGCACAGCTGGTGTGGGTAATCAAACCTACAAAATCTACGAGCACTTCACTAATTCACTCAGAATCCAACTTAAAATGTTGCAAAAACATTTTATAACTAAACGTGGCCAATAAGTCTTAATCTACCCGCCACTGTAAATGCTTTTGAATTAATTTATACCTTGTTTTTTTTTCGAAAATGAAATTTACCAAACATAAATCAAAATTAAACCTAACAGACAGAAATCCTACAACATCAATTATGATATGCAAATACACGCATTTATATGGATTTGCAAAAGTTAAATAAATGATCTGTGAAAGAAATCTACAAATACAAATAATAAATTTAAAAAAAACTCCTGTATATATCCGTAGATGTAGATAACTCGCAAGGGCTAGGAATTTCTTATTTTGTTAAATAAAAAAAAATAATAATAATAATAAATTCTGTTTATTTTTAAATTTATACCCTAAAATAATTTTTATAAAGTCCATATATGATATGAGGATGTATTATTTTGTATGCTGCCCGCAAAATTATGATGTATTTTCAAAGAAAAAATCTTTAATATAAGAATATTCAAGAACAAGTCTATTTTGAAACCATTTCAAAAATCTTTTGCCCAATCAATAATTTATCCATTAACACGCAATTTAAAATGTTTATAATATCATACTATTGTAATAGTACAACATTTTATTTTATACTGTATGATATTCTATAACTTTAAAGTATGTAGAAAAGCTATTAAGTTTAATATTAGAGCATATAACTTACAAGCACCTGAATAACTATTAACGCATTGATTCAAGTTACAAGAACGTCTGGCCGATGGTTTTTTCGAATCATCGCAGTCCAAAGATGCTTTTAATGCTTCATTAAGACACTTCACGTCTCTTTTCTGAACGCCTAAGTCGCATGATCTCGAGCACTAAAAGTAAAAGTAAAATATTTAAACATTATGTATTTTAGCCGTCATCAATCAGTTGTCTGATCAAAGCCAAACAAACTTAATATCAATAATATCTACTGTACCGGAAGCCATTCTGAGGTGAACCAAGCAGAACCGCAGTTTTCTGTGAAACACGACATGGACGCTGAAGGTTTTTCTTTTCCAGAACATTGACTCTCGGATACTATTTTCCATTGTCTTTGATCGTAAGACATACATACTAAAGTTCTTGTTTGGTTACCCCAACCACACGTTTCCGAACACTGACAATTTGTATTATTACTTAGTATATAATTTATTTTATTTTATTTATTATTATTATTATTATAATTTTTTTTTATTATTATAATAGTAAAAATTTAATAGTTAAATAATAAAATCTTACTTGCGACCAAGGTCCTGCAAACCAGAGTCCACTACAATCTTTGTCACTTAAACATGCTCTGCTTGCTTCTGGTTTTATTGATCGTTCACATGCGTTCTCGCGGTCAATGCCCAACGAACAATGCACTTTTCTGGTCTGCGTACCAGTGCCACATGTTTCAGAACACTGAAACGATAACACGAACGTATAATGTTCAAGATTTATTAAAATCATGTTAATCCGTGGTATTCGTAACGTAGTATAAAATATATGAAATAATTTAAACGATACTAAATTTACGAAATACATTAGAATTTTAAATATTATTCAAATTAATATTCGCAGAAAACAAATTTTATTTTTGCTTATATATACCTAAATCAATAATGTCAACAAATATCTTAAATTATTTGACACGGTTTTGATTCGTTACACACATGTTATTGACTGTAAAGACTAATTTAACTGTATTTACTGTAAAAACTTCTCAACCCAACTCCTATCAACACATAGTATAATTACTTGAATCTAAGTAAAGGTTTTGTTTAAAATATATTATTGTTTTGGATCATTTACAATTATTATAACTTTCTTATGTTCTATAGTAAAAATATACACACAAATACATTTGTTTGTAATAATACCTGTGACCAATCGGACGATATCCATGAACCGGGTGCGTTCGACAGAGCCATCGCACACGGTCCCATGTCACAGGTGGTTTGGTGTGGAGGTTTCTCATTCTGCTTGCACTGGGTTTCGTTAGTTGAAGAACAGCTGACTGATCTGGACTTGATGCCAATTCCACAAGTAGTGGAACACTACAGCAAAACAAATCAAATGGTAAATTAATAAAATAAAACAAAAATTAGCAAACGTTTAATACTCGCGAATAAATATATAAATAGTTTATTGCTGGTTAAGTTATTGGTATAAATAGTTTATTCCATGCTGGAGTATTATTATGCGTGTAATGTACAACCGGTTTCGGATTGTAAATCATCAGGTGTAAAGTTCATAAAATTGCGATTGATACTCAAAGCTATACATCAGTTTATTTACTTATTTCCATGTGTAAACTATTTGTTTATATATATTTAAAACAAATGGGTTATACCAACCCCGTGACTTTGCACATCGGAATATAACCGTAGAAAATTGCGATTGTACATTATACCGACCTTGGACCATGTTCCGGCGATCCAATGCGCATCACCGTCAGATAAGGAGTATTCGCAAAGCGGCTTTTGGCAGACTTTGGAGAGGATGACGTTGGTGGGAACTGGTGATGAACATGCGGACTCAGCCGCGTTCATTGTTAACGCGGAGTTGATGTGCTGCTTGCACACGATGTCCCGGGTTTGGACACCCAGACCACAGCTGACCGAACATGAACTCCAATCGGTGATTGTCCACCTGAAAATGCACTCCACGTTCATTTGCAGTCAGAGGCGTATTTAGACTTACTTCTAGGGGGGGGGACTCAAATTTTTTCTTCAATTCAGGCTTAAAATTTACAAGTAAAATTGTTGGTAATATTTAAATCAGCTGAATCTTTAATATTTGTGTTTTTTTTTTTTTTAATCTAATGATCCACTTAGAATCGACTTTTGTGTAGTTCTTTTTTAACACCTGTCTGTGTTTTGAAATTTACGCTTGTGTTTTATTTGATTTATGGATGAAGTATGGATCCGACAAAAAGCCCAATTCATTATTCACAGCAACGAGTAATTTTATTTCGTTATAAAATGATCCACATTAAAAAAATTTGAAATGCGTATCTCACATGTAATCAATTCCTTAAATACGGATTCAGGGGGGCGATCGCCCCTTCGTCTCCCCCTCCTAAAATACGCTCGTGTTTGCATTAGTACAGTTGCATACAACTGCATAGTACAGACAATTGCAACAGCCGTGTCGAGCAACCGCTAACAATTCACAGCGGAAAACTTACTGCGCCTCGCATGGTTTCACGTTGCATCTGAGCACTTGAGGTTGCGGCTTCTCTAATCCATGGCACCGTTTATCTGCCACTATTTGCTGTTGTTGATTGTGCTCCTTAATACACACTATTGTAGACGTCTGGTATCCTGTGCAAAACACACAATTGTTCACTGAGCTTAGATGTAGGGTTATATTTTTTTTTAATTTTATTTTAAGCAAGATCACCGCAATAGATTTGTATTTCTTTACGTAAGCATTACCGTGTTCAGAAGATAATTTTTGATGTTGAAAACATTACTTAAATGCAATTTTCTTTTCAATTTTATACTCTGTTGTTTAATTTTTTTCTAATTAAATATCATCAATAATTTACTAATTCGGTTAATGATTAATCTGAATTATATAATCGTTCCACGATCTGAACAAAACTACATGCATGAACTACATACGTGCATTACCAGACTAAATGTTTACACTTATTTATACATATATAGGTTAATCAATCTAAAACTACAACCAATTAATTTGAATACCCATTAATTATTTTTAAGGTTTTTTTCATAAACCTACAATAAACGTCTTACAATAAATATATATATATATATATATATATATATATATGCGTTTAAAACCATTTTTAAACAATTGTTTATTTCAAATATTATTAAACATAAATAATTACTTTGTACCTAGGTATTCAATTGCGGTAATCTCATAAAAACAATACCAAATAGTTCCATTTTTAAAAAAACATTTTTGATTGTTCCTAATATTTTTAGGAAATTGATTTATGTAGATAATAAAAAAAATTAGTAACCTCCACCGCATGTTTTGGTACATTCTGAATAGCCACTTAATTTCCATAAAAACTTCTTTTTTCTGCCTTTGTTGCGTGGTTTTACAGCTTCGTCACCGATGAACCCTTGAAACTCTGACACAGTTCCAAGAGGTTGGTTCAAGTTGATTTTTCTACAAAAGCAAATATGTATTCATTCGATTTACTATGTACATCATTGAATAAAAAATAAACTTTTACTTGTCTTCGTTTTCAAATTCTGTCTCTTTATCAGTCATGTAAGTTTCGTCACCAGTTGTCAAATAATTTCCTACAACATTTAAAGTTAAATAATTAAAAAAAAAAAATGTTCATGCGATGCTTTTTTATGTGCATTATACCTACCAACATGAGCTGACATGTGCGAATGGTGCCTAATCAATGGTGGCGCAATCGATTCCTCTACGGGTACATCTAAAGGCAGTTTGTATTCGTATTTGATACCGGGATTCGTGTATCTGAACACCAACTAAAAAAAAAATAGAACACATAAAAATAAGACTTACGTACAACACATACAAGTGTATGATATTGTAGTTACAATGAGGTCTACGAATTCTGAGAGTGGTCCTGAGGCATATACTGTTTCACCGAAATTACCATTTTCTTTTCGATACGTAAACACTGTACCTGCTCCTTCGTAATCTCCTGGCCAACTATTACTCCAATTTCCATTAAAAATGTACGGCCCAACCGTATGTTTCAGTGCTGTAAACACATATTATTAACAATATTATAATGAAAACGAATTAAACCAAAAATATGAGATCACTTCACTATGAAAATGTAACACGTACAACTTTTACACGAGTAAACGTATTATATTTAGGCCTATTACACGGGAATATAAAAATAAATATTTATATTGATTTATTAAATTATTTTAAATTATTTTAGTTTTTAATAGATCACACATAAGCAATATATTATGATTATATTTTGGGTTTTCTTTGTATTTCTTAGTATTGCAAATCTACACGATAAATTTTAGGTTTAATAACAATTATTCATAATTTTATCCTAAAATGCATTATTTATTACCTATGCTGTTGGCAGATGGCTTAAGTTCGGTAATCGTGATATTGCAAGCAGATTTTGGTAATCTAGCAATTAAATTATATCCTGGTGGCATGTCTGGTCTAGTAAGGATTCCAGAAATCAAACGGCAAGTACTGTTATCACCACCACATACACCACATTCGTCAATTCTTTTTTGCCCACCAATCGAACCATCACAGCTGACCACCTTAAAAATAATATTGAATACTTAAATAATACATAACAAAAAAAATTAAAACACTCTAATATAATATATTAAAAATATATTTTATCTTAATAACCTCGTTTAATTTTTGCATCAACTAATATTATCGATAATATATATTTACTTTTATAATATTGTTTCGGTGTACGCTCAAATCAATCGAAGCGCACTTTTACCATATAGGTACAAAATATAAAAAAAAAGACATAAAAATACACATTATACTAGAAACTGCTTGGACATCAAAGTAAACTTTTTTACTCGAGGATAACTATATGTACTGAATAATATATTTTTCTATATAATAATACACCGGTTTGATTAATATTAGATATGTGCAGCAACAGTATAATATTTCTTTAAATATATTTTCTATTAATCCACAGCAATAATAATAATATTAGTAATACTCTGAGGTCAATACGAATAAGTAAATATCCAATATACAGGGCGATCAGTAATCCGTATTATAGAACGGGTTAGTATTGCATACAAGGATCATACGAACAGTTCAATAATCCAACTGTATTTATAATACAAGTTTCAGAACACTCTGTATATTATGAATATACAAACACCGTCAACTCGATAAATCCTGAAAAATTATCATAGGTACATGGCACGTTGCGGATATGATTTAGACGTCAACGTTGAAAAATCAATTATCGAATACTTGAACGCGCGCGGGGTGTAGTGAGATTCCAATCAACTACCGTTGTGACTCCACTATTTTATACGTACCTACAGCGTTCGGACAACATAAATCACCAGGAAAGCCTATGTTCGCGTGTTCATGTACGATAAACATCGTTTATATTTTTCCTTACGAAGATCTAACGTGTTAGATAAAACGTCGAATATCGAAACTTCCCACTGGGTTCTTCTAAGTTGTAGATGAACACGCTAACTCCATTGATAAATAATTAATATTACCAGTTTTCATTTGTGCTTGACAACTAAAGAAGTTTGGATTCAATTGAATGTTTCACAAACATTCGAATTTCACAACCATTGAAAAATATACAAGACTGTAATAAATTCGGTGAACTCATATTCTATTTATGCTATAGATGTGCCTAATACACGCAATGGTTAAACAAAAATATAAATTTTTTAATCCTATCAAAATTACAAACACATTAGATATTCATATTAGTGAGCGAAATTAGTTAATTTCCATAATATGTTTATTATTTGTTCTTAAAAAAAATACCTATGAATTGTAAATATATAAAAATAGACATTTTTCTCTAAATTGTGTTTACGGAATTTGATAATTAACAAAATAAACGAAATAAAAAAATTTCCAATTACGATAAAAATCCTTACATTTTAATGTTAACAAAATCATATTCATACAAGTAATAATTACCATAAGATATATATTAAAAAATCATAATCCGAAAAACATTAAAATAATTAAATAAAATCGTGTTTTATTATGTGTAACATTATTTAAATAATGGCTTTTAAATAAAAAATAAAAATAATTTTAAAGAATACCTATAATAATTTATCATACATAAGACATACATAAGTGCAAGTCACTCAGAAAATTTTTCAGTTCATATTCTTTAATCTATTTAAAGACCTTGGAAATTATAAAACTGCTTTTCGTAAAAGTTTTAAATTTAATCGAAAATACCTTATAATTACGATTTGATTACTGTTTAATAATATGGTAAAAGCAAGCGTCCACAATGGGTAATAGGTTTAGTCTATAAACTATAGTGAGTTAATGCCTGACAATATTATTGAATGTAGTACACCTATATATAAATATGTTTAGAACAATTTTAATTTAAAACTAATATGTAAAAATACATGATTTACTAAGTTTCAACAAGTGACATAGCAGGTATTCAGTCAGTAAAGCTTGTTCTTTTATGAATCTATAGACGATTAAAAAACAGATTTTAGTAAGTGACCATAAAAAATAAATTAAAATATATGAATGCGTATATATTTCTAAAAGTATATAAATGTATACATGATTCAAGACACTCGTGAAATCATTTGATAATTTTCTATTAACAAGAAATTAAATTACACATTTTCTTTTACCAAGCGACAGGTTTATAAAAGTTATCCGATCTTAAAGTGTTGAACATTTTTTTATTGAAAGATTTCCCACAGCGAGAAATCGGTCTGTTATTTCCATTAGAGATATAAGTGTCTAGTGCGATATTTAGCGGTGATACATTAGTAAATGAACCTTTCTATTATTATTATGACACATTCCATCAGATTACAATATTTGTCATTGGAATTTTTCTTTGAAATGGGACATTGAACTTTACTGTAACTTATTTTACTATACTCGATCCGTTCAATTTATGACGACTTATAATAATACCCAGAATCGCATAAAGACGATGAATGATTCAATATTTAGTTGTAATTTGCTTAAAGCTTATAGTTTGAGAAACATTGTTAATATTATCAGATAGCGGCAATAAATCGTGTTATAATGATAATATTATTTTTTTTTTTTAATTTTTTTTTTTATTTTAAATTAAAAACATATATATTACAGAAATATTATTATTTCTATATTACGGATCGAAATTAACAATTAGATACAGAATTGATAAACTTAACTTCTGTAAGCTTATGCAACTTGTGTTGGATATAGGAAGCTATGATTATTACTAAATATAATAAATAAGAACACTATATAAATATAGATTTATTATAGATTAAATGTGGCAGCAGATTGATAATATTTTTCGTCCCCGGAAATGTAAATCAAAGCGGCTCAATAATTTTTTTTTTTTAATAAAAAAAGGGGTTTACACCAATTAGGTATAAATTAATAATTTAATTAAAGCTGACCACTCAACGACCATCCCATCGGGAAACTTCCCAACTTCCCAATATGTCAATCCAGCATATAGTTAGTCATTCGAAGGGATTATATACCATTATCATGTAGGCATATAAATGCGGGATTCATTCCAACCGGTATAAGGACCGATCAAATCGAGCAATAAGAAACTACATTAGACGTGCAGCGAATTAGACGGATAGCCAAAAAAAAAAAAAACTATAAAATGAAATCATATAGCATCCAGGGCTTATAATGAAAAAATATTACAGCTGGGACTATAATCCTTAAATTATTTTGATCGTTCTGTATACCTATCTAAACCATTAATAAATAGTTTTACGTACATACTCGTATTTATAATAATTAATAAGAGTATACGAGTGTTCGTTAGACACTATTCTTTGCCACTAGCAGCTACAATGTACCGCTGATGAAACGTAATAGTTGATAATATTATTAAATAAGACACATTTTTATAAAAAATGCATCATTAATGAATAATTAATTTATAATTTTTAACACGGAAAATAACTTTGACCAAATGCGCGACTGAGCGTTCCAGTGAACTCTTAGAAGTAATATTAAAAGGGACGCTTATTCAAGTGTTGTGTGCGATAAGGAAACAGAGTCCCTTTGCATAAGCCCCTTACTTTAAGCCGTGAATTAGTACCCATAACACGATAATATTCATAAGTAATCGTCCACATCACTCCAACGAAAACAATTACAATAACGAATAATATTTGTGCACCACATGTAAAGCAACGTATATTTGGAATATTCGGTATCAAATATACAAAATATATATAAAATCTTATAATCCCAAAATTTTTGTAGACAAAAACGCGAAAGGAAATATCGTAAATCCTAAACTATACAATAGGTCACGTACATATAATACGTTAGTTTACCGCTGTTAATTATTCTAATAATATATATATATATATATATTATAGTAATATTATTATTATTATTTTTTAATATTATTATTATATTTAATTTATTATTATATTATTTTTTATGAATATAATTTCATTCACTTTGAAAACTTACACTTAATGCCTATGATCTTACGTACTTGAAGTAAACTTTTTTATCCAGACCCCCCTTCCCAATTTTTAATTTCTAGATCCGCGCCCGTACACATACACACCGTTTCGTATTCCCGGAACGTAAAGGTGCGTGCGATGTACAACAGATATACACGGGGCGGGGGTGGGATGAGCGCGTGTAAAAATAGATTGTTTCTAAATTAACGCATTTTTACATTTCTACCGTTCCACCGTTGACGGGTGTCGCGGTTTCAAGGTCACTGGCGGTGGCACGCGATTTCCTTTCATCATCGCCCACGCGGCGATCGTTCGATTTACGAAAATACATCCGCCCCTGAACCATCCGCGTGCTCAGCACCAGGATGCGGTTGAAACGGAGTCTTCGTCGTCGGCGGCGGCGGCTGCTGCGAGGCGGAAAGTGAACAGTATTTTGGAAGAGCCAACAAAGTATAACTACTGCCAGCGATAATAATTAATTTATGCGGATGACGAACGTATGAGTCAACGGGCCCGATTATTGTGAAAAATCCGTCGGGGCTTACGTTGAAAAACGAACAGAAAAAAAAAAACCGTTTAGAAGAAAACTTTTGATGTGGAAAATACAAGTGGAGAAGTCGTCGACTTTGATAACTTTAACATTTAAAATCCTCTTAGAGCTCTTAATTGGTTTTTTAGCAAGGAAATAATGCATTTTGAACTTTTCCCCTTCGACGTTTTTCTCGGAAAATAAATACCGGCTTTTACATATTTAAACGCCTATAATTTCCTTTTTCGTATTCGCTTCAGCGGATTTGATACTATACGCATACAGACTATACGCATACAGGATTGAAAAATCAATTCATATAATGATCTGTCGACAAAAAAAAACCGTTTGCACGCCATGTATACACGAATAAATGTCTAGTTGTATTATTAAACGTTGAGATGGAATTAAAGCTTTTTCGCAAATTTCGCAGAGTGGAAAATAATATTCTTATTATAATATGCATTAAACAAGAAAATTATAATAATCGAACAATTATGTTTTGTTAGTAAGGTACAACGGTTATAAGTAAAAATAATGTGAAAAGTATTAATATTTTCATTTGTTTAATTAG